AAGGGGGCCCAACATGGGCAAGAAGGGCTCTGCTGCTGGGCCTCGTCTGGGCCAATGCACACCTGCCTCTCCCAGGAGCCTCCCTGCCCCAGCGTCTCCCGAGGGCCACAGGTAGGTGGACGCTGCACTCAGCACCCCCTGCTGCTTCTAGCACTATTGCTGCTTCCACACAGCTGAAGGGACAAGGAGGAGACAGTCCTCCTGCCTGTGCTTTCTGCTGTATTTGCTATGATTTCCAATACTTGGGAAGGCATTGAGCACTTGGGATTCCTCACGTAAGTTCTTAAAGATAGCTCTGAAAGAATTCATAGAGGTTGTAAAGGAAACGTCATGAAAAAACTTTCATCCTTTCTCTGCAACAGTGGGTAAGTCATTGCAGGCCTATAGACAACTTGGGTTCTGAAATTTTAAAAAAAAGGAAACTGTACAGATACTAGAAATCTTTATCCATCATAAATAGTACCTTGAGCTGTGGCTCAGGGATAATGAGCTCCTCAAAAGAAGCTAGATCCCACATGGTGACCTTGGTTCAAATCCCCAGCCTGGTCAGCCTGGTGAGTGCCCAGGATCTGATGGGTTAGAGGACTGGAGGAAGGAGATCATGGCATCACCAGTCTTTGTGGATGGGCTCGCTCGCTCTCTCGTGCACTTGCTCGCTCTCTCTCTCCCCTCCCCTCCCCCATGCACATGCTATCATAAACAAAAAATAATGTTTTTAAATTAAGTACAGTCTGCTTGGGGAAGCACAGAGGTTCAAAATTCCTTTTTTAGAAATAAAGACAAGGAGATCTAATTTCCTCTTTCTGACCACTGAATCAGCTTATTTCAATAAAATCTTTCTTTCCAATCCCAAATATAATTACGTTAAAGCTCTATGACTACTTCACGTTTAGAAGTACTCTATACATTGCCCCCGGTTCTTGAAATTCCACCCAGGCCCCCTATATTTACAGGTCTCCTAAGGAAATTCTCCATGGGCTTGGGATACCTGGCTCCAACATTCTTCCAACTTTCATCTTCTTTTCCTTCCCAGGAAACAGCACTCAGTGTGCTACTTCTCCGTCCTCGGAATTTCCTGAAGGGTTTTTCACAAAGCAAGAGCGCAGGGATGGAGGCATCGTAATCTACTTCCTGATTATCCTTTACATGTTCATGGCTGTGTCCATTGTCTGTGACGAGTACTTCCTACCCTCCCTGGAAATCATCAGTGAAAGTAAGTGGCTGAAAGCGCCTCTATATTCTTTAGGAACAGTCACTACACAGATACGACTGTCCATCACAACGGAGCACTGACTTCTGGGTTGTAGGGGCCTGTGTCTTACGACACTGGCCCAGTGTGGTTTCTCTTGGTATATTTAAGTTAGTACCCAGCAGTTATTACACTGCCTGTCTTCAGAAACTTCCTGTTTGTCCATTAAATGTCCTGGCTGTTCATTATAAGAACTATTCCAAGATTTCACATGGATGCACTTGGTGTATATTCCTAATACAATGGAACTAAGACTTAACATTTCATACTTCAGAAATTTTTTAAATTTGTACTCTAAGATCATCATTCCTTTTTTTAAGAGGTAGGTGATTAAAGACAATTTATTAAGGCCACCCTCCCCCCTCCTGTCCCAGCATTCTACTAGTAAAGAAACTGATTGACATTTAAACCCTAAACACATAAATAAGTCTGTATCCTATGCAAAATGACCTCAGGCACCAGATAATTGTAAACCCAGTTATTAAAAATTAAGCTCGGGACCAGTAGTTAGCGAAATGGCTATGTCACTGGACTCCCACGTAGTCAACCGCGGTTCGAGTCCCGGACCCGGTGGCTTAAACTCACACCGGGCACATGTGCGTGCGCACCCAAAACCCAGAGAGGAGAAGGGATTGCGGGGTGGCCATTCCCCCGTGGGGGATGATTTCTCGCTTTCTATCTCTCTGTCTCTGTTTGTCTGGTGAGCACACATGCCCTTTAGCAAAAACCTCTCAAAAAAAAAAAAAAAGCTCCATTTTGGGTTTGTGAAAATATCAGCCAGCCCAAATCTGAGTGCTATTCTATTCCTTCAGCAGTGTTCATTGCTTAGAATTCCAAGTATAGCCATTCCTTCATGCGCTGGTCTCTAATCACAAGATCAGTGATGTTTTATGCCATATAAGCAAAAGTCCTGTGTTCTCATTATCCTTGCTGGGTTAGCTTAATTGGGTGAGCACACTCATTTCACAGCAAAGTCAACTGTTAAGGGTTGTTTCCTACTGCACATTCACAGAACTGCAAAGAAACAGCATCCTCAAAACCTCTCTCTCTCTCTCTCTCTCACACACACACACTCAGTGCTCATTGTTATCGCTTCTTCACAAAGGGAACGAACATAAATATAAACTCTCCCTTTTCCCATGGCCCCACTCCCTACCCCCGCTGACATGCAAGGCAAATTATCCTCCCTTGATTGCTGCAGTACAGCAGTATCCTTAGGATAGAAAAGGTACCTGGCAGTAGCAGAAGCACTGATAAACAAACACCTGTTTGTTTAATAATATTTAAAAATCTATAAAACAGGTCAGCATACATTTATAACTATTATTTAACTTAAGTAGATACAAATACATTCTTTACATTGACAATACATTTTATGTTGACATTGATATTTTCTTTAAAATAGATCAAATTAATTTTAACATATTTTTACTTAGATTAATAAAATAAAAGTGTGGGGGGGTGAAGGTACAAATCACCTGTGTTTCCATCACTCAGAGACTACCACAGACACCATTTGGTGTATTTCCTGTCAGTCTTCTGAATTTTGCTATATAAATAGTGTTTTTCCCTTTCCTCATATAGTATTTTATCGTGCGCATTTTCCCATATTATTGCTCTTCAGAAACAGATTTTTAATGGTAGCATGATAGTCCATGATTCTATAAGTTGAGCTCCTACCACTTATTTTATACAGAGTCAGTAGAAACGTATCATAATTTTTCAAACTATTAATCTCATTGGATGCTTGATTTGTTTAAATTTTTTTTGTTTTAAAGATTATGTCCACTCTTGTCTAAAACCTTTGCATACTTCTGAAATCATTTCCTGATCAACAGGCAGAGCTATGCATATTTTAAGCCTTCTATGTTGCCACAACATTCCAAATTGAACCTCCATAATGTATAGCAGCATCCGTTCCAGCAAACGCAAATTTAAATTTGCTAATGACTTTAATTGAAACTTTTTTAAAAAATGTATTTATCTTGTTATTCATGAGGTTGAATGTTTTCTATGCTGACTGAAATTTGTGATTTTGCTTGTGTGCTTTTTTGCCCCTCCCCTCTTAGGGGTATTTGTCTTTTATTGATTTTCAAGACATTTAAAAAATAATTAACAATATTAACTTTTTTCCTATTTAATTTTTATATAATATGCTTTTTCATGGTTTGTTGTTTGCTTTTGTATTTCATGTGTTTAACACACTGAAGTTTAAATATTTAACGTAATTTATAAAAATCTTTTCCACTATAATTCTTTTGGTTTTATATTTAGATCTATTTATCTCTAGGTCAGAAAAATTGCCACTTTATTCTTACCTATAATTTCTTTTTAAGCACTTATTTCTTCCACTAAGAACTTCTCTTGCTATTGAGTACAATACTGCTTTTTTTCCCAAGAGTTGATCAATTTTTATATACTAAATGTATATATAGATATGAGTATTTCCATACTCTCAACTCTATTCTGATAATCTATTTGTTCATTCTTATATCAGTATTTCACTTCAATTAGAAAAAAGAAATATTTCAAAAACATTAAAAATTAAACGCAGTAATTATACAAAATTTTAAGGTCTATCCATTTCCAAACAATGACTTGACTGAACAATAATGTACAGGTGAGAATAAATCCACACTGACTCTGTAGCACACTGGTTAAATTCTGTGCATGGGGAGCCAGAATTCCACATAGCCAACTATGGTTCAAATCCTTGCCCCAGCAGCTTGCAAAACACATGGGGCATGTGTGTGTACATCTCTGAAAGGAGCAAATAAAAAGGATCATGATGTGACCATACTCCATTGGGGGTGCTTTCTCTCATGTGCATATGCTCACACACAAACTCTAGCAATTAAAAAGAAGAAAAAACTCTATCAAAAATTTTGCTTGGGAACCAGCAAGTTAGCGTAATGGCTATGTCGCTGGACTCCCACGTAGTCAACTGCAGTTCGCGTCCCGGACCTGGTGGCTTAAAACTCACGCCAGGCACGTGTGCGTGTGTGCCCAAGATCCCAAGAGGAGAATGGAGGAGAAGGGACTGTGGCATGACCATCCCCCCTGGGGGGTGATTTCTCACTTTCTGTCTCTCTGACTGTCTGGTGAGAGCACGCGTCCTATAGCAAAAACCTCTCCAAAAAAAAAAAAAATTTCGCTTATAAAATTTTTCTTGGGAATAGTAAAAAATAGTAAAAAAAAAAAAAATTCGCTTATAAAAATTTTCTTGGGAATAGTAAAAAATAGTAAAAAAAAATAAATATTTCTAGCCTTGCAGCAGAAACTACTCATTAAAATTTACATTATGACTTGAAAATAACCCTCATTAAGTAACTTCATGTTACTTAATAATAATAATGACTTCCACCATGGCACTTGTGGAATTTCTCTGAAACATTATCAGCAAACATGCTTTTCTCAAGAGAGCCGCTCTGCCCTGAAATATGACACAGCAGCTACTTGGGTGAGTGATTGATGAATGTCCATGCCACTGCCAGATCTTCTTCTGCCATTAAGAATTGACCCTGGTCTTAAGTGTCAAAAATACCAGCAACAAAATGAGATTGAAATAGTGCTAGCCCAATTCAATTTTAAATGGCTATAAATTAATTCTGTCATTTCTCTTTTAAAGATCTAGCATGGTCTCATCCAAATTACAACATCTGTAGTAAAAGCCAATTCTTCTGCAATGTGTTTGCATCCACAGAAACTGGCTTCAGAAGTCTGCAAATGCTTTGCACTTCCCCACAGCTCCTTGATGAGCACTGTGTTGTAAAAGTCCCATAAATAGTGGAACCAGCAGTTAGCATAATGGCTATGTCACTGGACTCCCATGTAGTCGACCACGGTTTGTGTCCTGGACCCGGTGGCTTAAAACTCACGCCAGGCGCGTGTGCGTGCATGCCCAAGATCCCGAGAGGAGAATGGAGGAGAAGGGATTGCGGCGTGACCATCCCCCCTAGGGGGGTGATTTCTCGCTTTCTGTCTCTATCTCTCTCTCTGTCTGGCGAACACACGCGCCCTATAGCAAAAAATACCTCTCCAAAAAAAGAAAATTTTTTTAAAAAGTCCCATCTATTTTGCCAGTTAGTAATTAATAATCTTCAAAACAGTTTGTAAAGCATGCCACAATACACTGGAGGGTTTTGTTTATTTATCAGTTATTTATCATGATACGATTGTAGATGACCAAGCATAATGCCGTATCTACAGATAATCATTTAGTCATCACAAAAATACTACAATGAAGGATTTCATACATTGGTGTTACTGATGAGAAAAATGAGGCTGAAAGGGTAGGCAATTTCTCAAGTCCACATAAACATGTGGCAGAATCCTGATCTGTCAAAACCTGAGCATGATCTCAGCTGCCAAATAATTTCACATACCCTTGTTTGAGATTAGCTGTTATAATATGGTTGTTCCGGAAGAACTGTTCTGTTTGAACAATTTTACAAGGAGTTTTCCTCCCTAGGGCACTGAGAGTTTGACAACAACAAAATAATCAGATATCCATTATAACTATGGAGGAAGTACACAACAAAAGAGAATACACTGATATACAAAAATTAGTTTACACTTCTGTCAACCAACCCATAAGGGGTTGTAAATTAATGTCATAAATATTTACCCATAATCGGCCCCCAGGCTTACATATTTTGTCTACGATGTGCTAAGATCATACAATAGTACTGTGAAACCTAGCCACTGTATACAGTGCAAAAATTTTCTGTGGGAGTGCATTTTTCTGAGTTCCCAACCTCACACTCCATGCAAGATCTGGAGGGTCCTGTCAACCCCGGCCTCATCGCCCCATTCCTCCCTCCTCAGATCACTTTAGTGGCTCATTTGATCAGCACTAGGATCTCTAGGAAGGTGAGGACTAGAAGAGGCTCTAACTGGAGTCTCCATGCAGGGATGAGTCACAGAGAGTGCAAGGCAGGACTTCTTGCCCGGCTCAGTCAAGC